ATTTTTTGTAGCAATAGCCAAAAATACATTGTATGGGTCAAAATTATTGATTTTTCTTTTATGCCAAAAATCATTAGTATATTAAGTAAAGATCATGTTCCATGAAGATATTTTGTAAATTTCCTACTGTAAATATATTAAAACTGAATTTTTGATTAGTAATATGCATTTAAGAACTTCATTTGGACAACTTTAAAGGCGATTTTCTCAATATTTTGATTTTTTTGCACCCTCAGATCCCAGATTTTTAAATAGTTGTATCTCGGCCAAATATTGTCCTATCCTAACAAACCTACAAACATACATCAATGGAAAGCTTATTTATTCAGCTTTCAGATGATGTATAAAACTCAATTTCGAAAAATTGACCCTTATGACTGGTTTTGTGGTCCAGGGTCACATATAGAACTAGGTTGTGTTTCGGTGAATGATTTGATAAGCAGTGCAGTGGCAGTGACTGTGAGGAAATACCATAAACTTAGACATTCCCTTTGAATCTTCTCCATGTGCTCGAATTAGGTCCTCTCCAAGCGCTTTTGACACATGAACATACAATGATATGATATTCACCCTTCCGTAATTTATTGTATTTTCCTCTAGGCGCTCTCACACATGGAAACTAATTTAAAAAATCTTCAGAAAAAAGCATGCCTGAACGCAATGAGATATCAGTAACGTGCTAGACTAAATGAGATGCTTGTAATAGTTTTGAGGTTTTGGCAAGCGCAATGCTTTCAAACAGATATCGTTTTATTGTTTACTAGTGCTATTGTTTATGAGGAGATCTGTTCTGATTGTTGTTAATGGGATCGTACATCATGAGAAATATTTTAAAAGAGGTAAGGGTTTCTCAGTTTAAAAATTCAGCATGAACGAATTTCTCATTCTTCCTTTGTGTTCCAGCGAAGGTATTCATGTAGGCATGAAACGTAAGGGTGAGTAAATAATGATTTTAATTTTTGGGTCAATTTTGCAATTATTACACCCTGCCATTTACATAAGCTCATAATTTATGTAAGATGTTAATATACTTTGGCCTTCTTTTACGTCACTGTAACTGTTTGCCTACATGCATCATAATTAGAATGATTTCTGAAGGATTGTGTGACACTGAGGACCAGAGTAATGGCTGCTGAAAATTCAGTTTTTCCATCACAGGAATAAATTACATTTTAAAATGTATTAAAATAGAAAATAGTTTATTTAGAATGTAAAAGTACTTCACAACATAACGGTTTTAATATATTTAGGATGAAATAAATGCAGCCCCAGCCTTTTCATCTAAAAACGTGAAAAAAAATCTTGCTGACCTCAAAACGTTTTAATTAGCCATGATTTAATTGTATCATTATTTACTCATCTTCATGTCGACTCAGGCATTCTTCGAAGGAACATAAAAAAAGAAACTTTGAAGAAAGTTCATGCTGAAAGAAGTTTTAAATATAGTAAGTTTATGTTGTTCACAGTAAGTTTTCGAAGCACAGTAGCTAAAGTTTAAAATTATCATGAAAAACTAAATTACAACTTGATTTTAAGCCTGTCACGATAACAACTTTTTGTTGTGCGATATATTGCCCCAGAAATAATTGCAATAAGCGATATTATTGTCATTTTAAAAAACATTTTATGCCACTGAATATATAATCATGATGTAACATAATAATGCAAGAAGGCCTACACACTTCCAAATGACAACAAACTTTTAATTTTTTATATTTTGATCATGGAAATTAAGTATCAAAATATTAGATTCCTTAAAAAACTGAATAAATAGTAAATAAACATTTTCTAACAAAAAGTGCAAAGTAACAAGGTACAAAAAAAGAAAAATGCACAAAGAACTTGCATGGAGATTTTTCCATCTACAGATTTTTCCCTGACCTTCTTTTCTCTGTAAATTAAGGGTGCACACTATTGCTGGAAAACACAATCACTACTTAGCAGTCAGGTGTCCGTATGCACAGAGGCACAGATCCCTAAACAAGGCCATATCTGCGGATGAAACTTTTTTATATATATATATAATGGCTTCTTTAAATTGTGTAATTTAATGACAATTTCAGCCTAGAATAGATGTGCTCCCACTACTATTGTCGTGAATCAAACAATATGACTGGCCTGTAAAAAAAAAAAGCTAGCACACCAACACAGGCCTTAAAGTGAATCTTGAATCTTCAGACACATAAGCCATGCCTAAATCAATGCAGTCCTGCTATCTTGGCTCAAAAAGAATCAGAGACAGAGGAGGGCATGAACTTGGATCTTTGAAGAGCTCAAACCCTCACATATAGGACAAGACGTCCATCTGAAGAGCATTATGGTTTTGCCTTATCAATCACTGCCCTTGACATCTGCAATAAAATACTGCTCTCGTCTCTACATCTGACCTGGGCCAGCGAAACCTTTGTAGTACTCAAAAGACTATAGAACATCATCACAAGATAATGTGAGCATAAAAGCACTGGTATATGATTTCTTGACTGTTGATTAACCGTGACTCACCATTACATGAAATCCAATCGATTAAAACAGAAGAAGCACTTGACAAACTTTCTCAAATGAACAATTCCAGCATAACACAAGTGCAGAAGTAATTAAATTCAAAATATAGGAATCCTAACCCTTACTAGCACAATTAAGCTAAACTGACAAGTTTATTATGAAAAATAAAAATTACAAATAATAAAAAAAATTAACCTGAAAATAGGCATTAAAAAACCGCAAAGATTAATGCAAAAATGTCTTTGTCGGATCACTCTGACATGTGGTACTTTTAATATTGGACACAGATGCTGGGAAACCTGGGCTTCATCTTTTGCTAGACTAATAAATCTGTAAAACTGCTAAAGTAAAAAAAATAAAAATACAAAATGCATCATGGGGTTAGCTTTTGAAATCAGAGTACAGTCAAAATGGTAAGAAACAATGTGACACTGATACAAACACATTTAATTAAAAAAAGAGATATCACCGACTTGCTAAAAAGATCAATAATTAAAAACATTAACACACATTTTATCGTCTGTAAAGTGAAAATGATGTGTGCAGCACAAATGTTCAAATCCTTAACTCTAAGCATGCAATAGTAACAGCCTTAGCAATCACCACTAAAGTGTTATGAACAGTCGTAACTATTTTTTTGTTAGTATCTACAAAGAAGATAAACACCTGTAATTTTATATAATATCAAAGTGGCTAAGAAGGATGATTCTGTATCTGAGATTGAAAAAGAAGGTACAAATTACTACATGCTGACAGTGTTCATTTTTGCTTAATTGAGATTGGCGTAGGTGGAAAAATAGCAACTTGTAATATCGTCTTGCCAGTGTGAAGCGGACCAGACAAAAGTCTGTGGAGAGAGCGGTGAAGCCGTCGTCTACAACGTGATCCATAACCACTACATGCTTCTGACTCTTGAATCTTGTAGTTGGATAAGAGGATGTGGTCTAACCCGAACAACCTTATTTCATGACTTTGCAGTGACAGACACTATAACCACATTTGATGATGGGGGAGTTGAGTGACTTAAAAAAAAATCACTTTTACAGTATAGGTATTAGAAAACGTTCACTGATTACAAAGGAAGAGCTTATGCCAACCATAGTCGCTCTGAATGACATGTAACAACAAAACAAAACCTCAAATCAACTTCTGTAGCAATTTCACCCATTTACTGCAAGTGCCAGTTTCTCAGAACTGTGGTATTCTGCCAGGAAATCAATTCCTTTTTTACCCAGATACTGATACATTTTCATCTAGAGTCCCGGGTGGTTGACTGTATGATGGGTTGCCATATTTTTAATGACAGAATCTCTAGGCAAGGGATGCATGGGGGTAATTAAGGTTAGTTCTGGGCTAAATGAAAAACACTTTGAAATTTATGACTATGGCTTGGCGCTTTCTATTTAAAGATGCCGAGTACCAACAGAAAGGTAAAAAACTCAGCTGATGATTGTTCTTCTCTACTGCTCCCGCATCTTTTTGTTAGACTAGACTAAAATACAGCAACCCTACAATTATGCATTTCAGCATTTCCCATATCCAATCCTGTTACATCAAACCAGAATAAATGTCAGCTCGATGGCACTGTGGTAAAGCCAAATATCACATTCAAAATAGCTCAAGTACTGTGAATGCAAATGCTTAAATCAATCAAGCAAGCAATCTATCAACGATGCCTCCAGGAAATACATTGTCCTCATTGGACACATGCAAACAAGAAGTGGAAAACTGTGCCATCTACTGTTTAAATGAATGCGCCATGTCTGGCATGCAGCAGATCACAGAAGGTAACAAAATACGTTACGTGAGATTGTGTCTGTCAAAACCAGATGAAAACATTTAGGCAACTAAATCACAAGTGGAAAGAACATTTGTTTATTACTTTTTGTCATTAAGTCTTCAGGTGAAAAAGGATAACAACACAAAACACAACAAGTCATACATTCTTTTACTTTTCCTCTAACACTGCTGACAGTGATCAACTTCTGTAAGTCTATGTTGTTAGAGGAGCAAATTATTTTGAAACTTTTACTGTCAATTTTATTACTTCCGAATGCATGAAATGACATTACCCCCGTTAATATTGCAACAACAAGCGTGTTGCCAGTGACAACAGATAGTACCGCACATGCATGACTAGCTACTTTGCCAAAAAAAAAAAAAAAAAAAAAAAACTTAATGATGATCATCTTAATGATGATGTAAATAACTAAATTCATCAGTAATCCATCAATCTCAAGGCAAAAGGTTTCAGTTACAACAGTTCTTCTCTCAAGCTTAGTAAAAACACTTTAATAACAATCAAAAAACAATCTTTGACCCACCAATGAAAAGTCAGAAATACTACAGGGTTTTTCCTAGATTAAAAATGATTTTCGGTGGTAGCTTATATACACATGTGCAAATTTGACTGATTACACAAAATGCAATTAATTTTTATAATTATACAATTACATGTCGAATGACAGAATTTTAACACTTTTACATTTGGTAAGCTTAAAATGAAAATGAAAAACAGCTTTTTAAATAAATGTTTTATCTAAATTATATGTAAGTAATGTTTGTTCATAGTACATTAATGTTTATTGATATGACTTGAAATGTAATAAAGTATTATATGTAAAATTGAACATTTATTAGATTAATAAATGCTGTAAAAACATTTTATTTATTCATTGTTAGTTCATGATACCTAATGCATTAACTAATTAATGCATTAGTTAAAACTGAAATGTGCAATAGCGTTGCCAAGTACTTTCAAGTAGAAAACTCGCAGTAGAATTTAAATGAGTCACAGGCTTTGTGTTCTGTGGTTCGCGCTGTGCTTCAGCACTTTGGATCAAAAAAGGCAGAAATCAAGATGAAGACAATGATCTTAAGGGAAAAATATTGCATCAAATACGATTACATTTGCATTAGGATGCCACCGAAAATGTTTCAATGAAGGAAAACCCCTGTATTAAATGGACACAAAACAAACGTAAATATGAAAGCTGTTAATTCACTCACTGGTAGCCGCAACATTATACAGGAGATAAAAATCCCTGGACCAACAGTAACATTGTATCACGTACACAAATAAATCACTAACCCCTCTAATCCTGAGCTCTCTGATACCCATTCCTAAAACTGCTGTTTATACACTTGGCTGTTGGTTCGAATACTTTTTAACCAATGACTTTATTGTAAAAGGTCTTAAACACCACACAAAATGAACAGAAGTGACTCTGAAATAAGGCTTTTTTTTTAGACCCAATTGACCTTTCAAAGCATATAATTATTGCATTAGGTCTAAGCAGATGACAAAAGGCTGAAAAAATGGCTTGAGTTTCTGTAAAACACTGATCATCTGCCGATATTTTTGTGCAAAATGACTGAAAAACAAAAGCATCTTCTGAAGATGTTTCGCGTTTCTCTCCACCAAGTGTATGTTGATGTTAACGGAACAAAAATCTTGAAATCCCTCTGTTATTTAAAAAAGTCAATGCAGGCTTATTCCCATTTGTTGAAAGATGGCATGTTTCCCGAGAGGATCCTGAGTATAGTAAGTCACAGTTTCTTAAAAAATTGTGATGCTGTTCTCAAAGTGGTAACAGAGGAGAGTATTTGTACAAGGCTGCTGGTGGCAGAGATACTGCGCTCAGTTCAGTGGGATGAAGCCCATGTCGGGAGCATCACTAAGAGTGAGCGGACTGCGGCCGTGGGAGTAGGGAGTGCTGGGTACATGCAACATGGGTTTATGGGTGTGAAGAGCGGCCCGTTTGTTCCCTTTCTGGGAGCAGGAAACGTCTATGGGGTGCCGGGCCTGGCGGCCTGAGCAGCCAGTAGAATGAGGCCTGTTGGGGGGAGAGACGGTGATAGAGACGGTACGTAGTAGACTCTCTTGGGTGACCGGGGCAGTTTTGGGTGTGCCCGGAGCACAGGTGCTCTGGATCACTGTGGAGTGTGCCATTGATTCTAAAAGCTCCTTTGTGCCCTGTGTGCACTGTGAAAAGAATGGCAAGAAAAAAATGGTTAAGAGTGGGGCTTCACAATCTAGGGCCATATGATTTCCGAAATGCGGACAGAAATCGCGGAATCCAGTCATAAAAATGGAATTTACTATATGACGTGGAATGTAACGGAATTTGCCAAATTTTGGATGAATAAATCAAAAGTAGGTCTGTATACTTAAAAACGAAATATGGACTAGTTTCTGTGAACACTAAAGGCTGATTTATACTTCTGCGTCGAACCTACGCAGTAGCTTACGCATAGACGCACACACATACGCCGTAGCCTGACGTGCACCTCTCCAAAAATCTAACAGCGCGTCAATTCTACGCAGACCGCAAGCGCTGTGATTGGTCTGCAAGAACCCCTCCCTCCATATGAGTAATGAGTTTTGTGTGTGTTTATGTGCACTTTAATATATTTAAATGTTACATCTTCTTATATAAAATAAAACAAAGCAAAGAACAAGTGTCTTATCATTTATTATACTACATAGCATTATACATCAGTAGTTGTCCGCAACAAACAATGTTGATCTGCCCTGGTACAAGTCCTTGTGCAGATTGAAAGAATGCCATCACCGCAGAAGTATAAATGAAAACTGACGCATAGCCTACGGCGTAAAGGCTACAGCGTAGGTCTGACGTAGAAGTATAAATCAGCCTTAAGCCGCAAAGATAATATTTAAATATGAATCCTGCATTTTCTGTGTGCCTCTAAGTGAAGGAATGGTGCAGACACAGACCAAAAAAAAAACAGAATCAAGAAAAATTTAAACGGAAAAAAAATTGAATTTGGACAAAAAATAAAATAAAATGGAATTTGGGAAAAAATGAACCGGATTTCATAGGGCCCTAACAATATTAGAAAAATGTGACATTGCAATAATGTTGTTTTTCTGCAATATATAGCGATATGATTACTTGAATAACTATATTTAGAAATACTGAGTCATTCTAGAGTTAGTGGGGTGACTTTGTTAGGGAGTGCACAGAAAATAAAAATTACTTTTAAGATTTTTTTGAATGTAAAATCCTATAGGGCTTCAAGATTTGGGGAAATCTGAGTGTTCACACTTGGGTTTACTTTTTACAAGAACCAACTCAAACCTCTTTCACTTGAGTTCTTATAGGCAACATTCCTACTATTTTTGACCAATTCAATATGACTATAAAATAATAGTCATGATGTTATTGTGATTATTGATTAGAATATTGAAATTGTAATATTATGAAACAAAAATTTTAAATAAGAAATATTTTGTAATAATACTGTAAAATAAAGAAATAAACCAAAGTATAAAAATTTTATTTTATTTTTTAATTTTATACTCAATTTCTCAATTTTCAAATGGTAAACCATCAAGCTTTTATTTTGATGGGTTGTCGGTTTGAGTGAAGCTTGTCTCTGTGTATTCATTTACATGCATACAGCCCATGATATCAGTGTCTCGGAAGGGCTCCATTTGCAGTAAATAAACCAAGATGTTCTCAGACGTTGAAACAAACACTGTATCATGAACAATATCTGTGTAAATGCCATGCTTGAAACCAGTAAAGAATACTTTACATTTAATTCAAAATCACAAGCCATATTGCTATATTTATTTCAATATACTGTGCAGCCCTAGTTAAGAGACAAAATACAAAGATCACAGTCATAAATGTTTTTGGGGGTAAGAAAATGGCAACTGATGTTAGATAGCAAAGCAAGTATGAGTGTGAGAAAATGGCCAGATTAGAATAAGTTTGAAAGCAGGTTAGTATTGCCACGGAACTAATAAGATGAAAATGTAGCAACAAATGGAAACTAAGCATTTCACTTCAAAGTATACGATAAGCTCAAGCAGTGCAGCTGATATTATAAGGGGATCTCCAGGGGTCGCGAGGATGAAAACACCTCCTAAACATCAGGATGAACATCCATCATGAGAAAAGGTGGAAAAGAACACGTGTGCATGATAACTAACACCGAGCATTACCATGACCTCAGTCAGCAGAATCCCAAGAGTGGATGAGAATGAGATAAGCACAGATGAATCGTGATGCTGATGATACATTAATCAGGAAGCAATGACATCATGGAGGAAAAACAAAACAACTGCAGACCTCTGGCCGACACTAATATATGAACAGTAAAAACAGATGTCAGCTAAAACAGTCAACTCATCCAGGAGCAAAAAAGGAACTGAGAACAGACAATGAGCCCAATGATCTCTCACATGATGGACACGTCTTATGCTAGTGGTTTTAAAGCAAAGAAATGGAAGCCAAGCTGACAGTTTAAATAAAAGGCAAAGCAAAGGCCAAAGAGTCACGAGAAGGCGGCCATGGAATGGCATGCAAACAGCCCCATAACACACCCTTACCATCAAATGTCACAGAGCTGCAGGAGCCTTCAGGCAGTGCAGGAGTTTGCAAACTCCTGACAGTTCTCCTCCTGTGTGAGGTTCAGAACTTTAAACATCAGGGCTTGATGCAAGTCAATATCAAAACGATGGCATCAAAATTTACAGTTAAAATATTTCTTTTTACAAATCTATCCTTTTTGGCATGCTTTCACTCTACTCTAGCTTTGCAACTAGCAGTGGCAAAATGTCTCAAAATAGCATTTGTAACCTGAATTGGCACCTTGTTTAAATTTTGACTGAAACGTGACTCCACAGTCTTCTGTAAGATTTATGCGCTGTTGCGTTTGTCATCCATCTACATTTTTCTATGTGCATATCTTTACACATCAAACAGAACAGGTGCAAGCCTCACTAACTGTAAATATGAGCTCTTTCCCAGCAAGCCAGGGTTTACAATAAACATGATTAAACTAGGATAACCTCATTCATTTTCACATGCTTTCCTGTAACAAAGTTTATGGTTTCAGATCTGTTAAAAGATCTGTCCTGGTTTCTGTTCATATTTACACTACCATTCAAAAGTCTGGGGCTGGTAAAATCTTTTTGAAAAACGTCTCTTATGCTCACCAAGAATGCATTTATTTGATCAAAAATACAGTAATAAAACAATAATACTATGAAATATTATTACAATTTAAAATGACTATTTTCTATTTTAATATATTTTTAAAATGTAGTTTATTCCTGTGATACAAAGCTGAATTTTCAGCAGCCATTACTCCAGTCTTCAGTGTCACATGATCCTTCAGAAATCATTCTAATAAGCTGATTTGCTGTTCAAGAAACATTTCTCATTATTATGAATGTTGAAAACAGTTGTGCTGCTTATTATTTTTGTGGAAATTGTGATGAATTCTTTTCAGAAGGCTTTGATGAATAGAAAGTTAAACAGAATGGCATTTATTTGAAAAAGAGTTTTTGTAACGATGCAAAAGTCACTTTTGATCGATTTAATGCATCCTTGCTGAATAAAATAATTAATTTCTTTAAAATAAATCTTATTGACCCCAAACCTTTGAGCGGTAGTGTATGACTTGAAATGCCATGGAATGTTTTTTGACTGACTAATGTATCAGGATTTTAAACTATTGCTACAATGCTTTAACTATTTTAAAAAATAGTTAGGAATTAATGCTCCTTGAACTTGAAGGCACTCTTACCATATTTGCGTCATTCTTAGACATGAAAGGAGGGAGCTCAGTGTCAGAGGTCACTGTTTGAGGTGCGTCATCTGGAGGTAAAAAGCCTCTTCTGTCAATCAAGCTACAAAAGATGACAGGATGAGCGTGTGACCTTTTGTGACTTGACTTTTAAAACACAGCACAGACTTAACTGGGAAAGATGGGCCATCATGTCAAAGAACTGTACAATTAAAAAGTCAGATCTGACAAAATGCGTTCTTGTTTGTAACAGTATGTACTGAGGACAGGATGTACACAGAGGTCGCGATAACCGAAAAACTTTTTTTAGCAGTGACGAAAAAAAATCTGAAGGCCGTCCGTCACTTTGACAGATTACACTGGGGGTGATATATTGTAACGTATAACTGTAAAGGCCAGGACACACGGCGAGCGACAGTCGGGCTAGTTTGTTTGGTGTGTTCCACTCGTCGGCTCTCATCGGCGGCAGTTGAATCGGCAACATGTTGAATCTGCGTCGGGGCCGTCGGGACCGTTGGTGCGAGTGAGAGCTCTGATTGGATGTTCAGTTTAGCGAACTCGGTTTCTCCTTTTGAATGATGAATATATACTATTGATAGCTGCTGATATAGACAGTTAATTCCTCTCACGCATGCGCAGAAGGCACGTGTTAGTTTGCGGTTGGCTATAGTCTGTGCGGTGTGTTCGAGCGCAGCTTTTTGGTCCAACGCTGCCGACGTGAGGCGACAACACCGTCGGCTTTCGTCGCCACTAGTTCTTTGAAGTTGGCTTGGTGTGTCCCAGCCTTAATTCCCACCCCTGTCCAGTTGGTGGCGAGGGCGCTCCAGTTTGGAAGCAGAGCGCGGGATCATCAGCTCCAGAACAAAAATAAAACTAGCTATGTTTCCATCCAAAGATTCGAATTAAACTTATCCGCAAAACTGGAATATCACTTAAAACATTTGGGAATAAAGCACCGTTTCCATCCAACGAGTGAAAGAGAACAAAATCGTCACTTCCTGGTAAACTGACACTAAATATCACTTAGAAAACTAGGAAAAGCCACTGAATACAATAATTTTCATATATAATAAATTACTTGCGCCTCAGAGCGAGCAGATGAAAGACAATAAATGCGGTCATTGCTTTCGGAGGTGGATGCCAGCTGTTTGGGAACGCAGTTGTGTAAGACCATTATACAGAAATACTTTGACGACAGACTTTGCTTAGGCAATTTCAGAATGACCATAACAACATATGAAGAGTTTGGTTCCAAAACGCTATAAATCCCTTTTGATTCATTTGAGTAAAAATGTGTTTTCTTTAGTGGATGTATCGCATTCTGCAGAGAAGGGAGACTGGCGTTTGTCGCGGTTTGGAAAGATAGGGAGAAAACATGACAGAATAACACGGCGGATATCGCATTTTGCGCAAAATTAAAAATGGACTTTTCAATACTGACCAGATACAATACTGATTTTGGCGGGAACTCAATAAAAAAAAAAAACTTGGAACCAAACTCTTCATATAGATGCTGTGAACGAGATCGGTCCGCTGCTAGTCAAGTTATCCCGTCTCACAGCACAAAGTCACATGACTTTTTCGATGCGCATGGAGGAATTTATTTGGTAAATGTGTTTCCATCGTAGTTTATGTGCATTTTTCACTATCCGATAAAAAGTTTCTTAGTCAAATGTGATCATATGTTTTTTATGCACATTTTTAGAATTTATGCGCATCTTGGCGTTTCCGTCCAGCGTTTTTTATGCAATATTCCAAAATGTGCATAAAAATAGGCGAATGGAAACATAGTTAGTCACAAGTCTTTTGCTATGCCTTTGATAACGCACAGGTGAGTATCCACTAATAAAGCGAAAGAGATGATCAGTTCACGTCCACTGCTGCTTCGCTTGATCTGAGGTATCTACAGCGATCTATCACGCAACATTAAAGAGCGCCAAAACGGTATTTATTGCTTGAATTTCCTAATAAAATGGACAGAATTTGAAATCTTGAGACTTTGTTTCATATCAAAAGTAACAAAGGACAAAGCTTAGCCTATTGTGATTTATTGGATGGGACACGACTAGGTTCATTATTAAAAATGAAAACGTGAACAAAAATAAAAGCAATTAAATGACGGTTAATAATAGATTATGACGGAATTTTTACGACCCTGTCCGTCAAAATGACGGACAATGTTAAAGTCTAACGCAACCTCTGGATGTACATCAGCCTTAAGCTAAATGACATTTCATTGCCTCACAAACAAACAATGATATTGGCTTCTTTAGCAAAATCTTAGGAGGTGAATGAATAATAAAATAAATATCTGTTTCTGCTATGATGTTGGCATTAGCATGCAGTACAGACCTGGGTGGCATCGGCCCACAAAGCACCACACAGCAGTTTGTAAAGATGTTGTTATAGGTGTAAGGATTTCCTGATTCTTCTCCTCTTTTACTGGACCAAGAGCCTTTAATCTGCAATCATTAAATGCAAAGAAGCTGCTCTTCAATCTGACTGAATAAAACATTGCAATTAAATAAAAAGTGTTGATGTAGCTTTTGTGTGATATTTACATCTTCGTTGGTTGTGAGGTTGGCGGCCACAAGATAAGTATGGAAACCTGACAGACCAAGAATGGACCAGATGGAGAAGAAGCAAATGACCAGCTCGACAACAGTGCAGGAAGGGTTAAGGCTGCAAATCTGCTGTAAATGTGTGTTAATGTCCAAAATATACATAACAATAACAGTACAGTGATATAAGAACAATTATGCAAAATCAATCCCATGTGCTTGAACATTCTGCCCAAACTCATGAACCACAAGGTCAGCCAGCTGGGTTGATTAACTGAGGTTGTGGTGGAAAACTGTGACCTCAAGCCACAAACTTTAAAAAGGGGGCTGGACACCAGCAGAATCTGTATCTAGGGGCAACAGCTGCCATCCTGACAGGAAAGCAGGGTGTGGTGGAATCCTTGAGCCGATTAGGGATGAATGGGATTAGGAAAAAGGCGGAACCAACATCAGTGGGCCTGTAAACAAATGGTGAACGCAGTCAGCCTTACTATTGTGTGTTTCTGGTGAAAGGGGTGGTGAAGCATGCCGGTCGATGGAGACAGGGGTGGGAGCACAGAAAAAAAAAAAAAGGATATCTGGCTGGGCTGTCCTGTATTGCCTGGATGATACCATTCTCATCTTGTGATCCTGTTGATGAGAGTGACTGGTCAGAGAACAAACCTGCTTTAAACCTGACTGACAAAAACAACAAAAAACTATTATTGCTAGTTAATATTATATTATTACTGCATAATATTTTTGTGGAAACTGTGATGATTTGATGATTAGAAATCTGAATTTCATTGTGACATTATAAAAGACTTTACTGTGAGTTGTGATTCCATCCGTGCTAAATAAAAGTATTTTTCTTTAAAAAGTAACAATAGTAAAATCCTAATGACCCCAAACTTTTGAACATGTCCATATAGGAAGAATTTAAAGATTTCTTGGTTTTGAATAATCACCATTTCAACATAGATGCATACATTTATAGCTCTCCCACTGACAACTATCCTACACAAATAGTAAGATTTTGTGTGAGGTAGAAAGAGACTGTGGTGCAGAAGGTGTTGTGAAACTTACTTAAAGTGAGGTGAGTGATCACACAGCCAAAGATAAAGGAGGTCAGAAAGGATAGAGACACAATGAATGCGTAAAAAAAGCGATAGTTTCGCTTCCCAACACAGTTCCCCACCCAAGGACAATGATGGTCGAAACGCTCTACAAAGGGAACAGAGACAGAACATTTTCAGACACATCGACACTTACAAATAAACTCTGTGCATTCTCATGCAATGATTTTAAGGAAGTGATATGTGTTATTCTGAAGACAGTCGGTTCCCTTCAGAGATACATTCATATAAAACACCCGCGCCGTGTTATAAATTTGAAACGTGCAGTGCTCATGTTTATTCAACGAAATCAAACGGCACAAATAAATCAATGTATGGGAAACACTGGTAATGTATATCGAAATATCAGAAATGTGTTTAAAAATCATATCACCGTTATTGAAAAAAATTATATCGCGATACATATTGATATTGAATTATTGTCCAGCCCTAGTTAGAGGTTAAACTATTACACATCTACTATCAAAGCAACATATTTTGTAGCTTTACATAAACAGTTCTGTCATCATTTACTCAACCTCATGTGGTTTCAAACCAATATGACTTCCTTACATGGAATTACACTAAATGGGTACTAGAGCACTTACGGTTCAAAAAAAGCAAAAACATTTAAAAAAAAGTTTCATAAAAATGGACCATATAAAATGAAATTTACGATGAAAGTTTAATTTACAGAGTTTAACTGAAACTCTTGACATCTGTCCTAATGGTGCATTCCATAATGTTAGATTACAGAAGTTACATTGAAAGATTTGTGAAAGAACTGTGCTTTTTTTTTTATCTACACACAAAGTGTATGGCTTCAGATGATTGGAATATTGCACTCAAATTGTATGGACTACTTTTATGGTTCTTGTTGAAGCTATAAAGGGTTAGTTCACCCAAAAATACTTTTTCTGCTTTCATTTACTCGCCCTCATGTTGTTCCAAACCTGTATGATTTTCTTTCTTCTGTAAAACACACACACACAAACATATTCTGAAGAATGATGATAACCAACCCATTATTATACCATTGACTTCATTTGTATGGACAACAAAAAACAACAACAACACATTTCTTAAAATATCTTATTTTATGTTCCACAGAAGAATAAAAGTCAGTTTGGAATGACATGAGGATGAGTAAATGATCAAAATGTTCATTTCTGGTTGAACTCTCTTTTTAAAGCTCCAGTCCCCATTTATTTTGCAGAATACAGAAATGCTGCCTTACCGACACAGTTGTCACACAGGCTGCAGTGGGATGTCCGGGGTGGACGGAACATCTTGCATGTGAAACAGTATTTAAGCTTGACCACCTGGTCATTTATAAGGATCTCTTTAGTCCGGGGAGGTGGACGGTATGTTGAAGATCCAGAATTATCTTTAAAGAGACCCACAACTTTAGTATCAACATACACAACAAAAATGTTAAAATGAAAAATAAACACCACAATCAAAAACTCACCAATCTGTCTCTCAATATTCGCAGCCTCATCCGGCAAAGCCCTGGGTAATATCCCTGGGTCTGTAAAACTGGTTTGAAGGAGGGTGAAGATGACAAATACAAATAACACCCCACCGATTACTGGAATGAAGACAGTAAGGTGATCCACCAGAAAGGGGCAACTGTTATGATCAAAACAAAGACAAGAGCAAAGTTAGCACCTGAGACAAATATTGTAAGTGTGCTTTCTGATAATAACCTTGTGAAAGCAACTGTTTCAGACTGGAACGATGTCAAGAAGGGCTACATCAGCTGGTGGAGATGTCTCTATTGAGAAAACTAGTAGTAATAGTAGTTGTAGTATTGTCTAGCAGTGTGGACACTGGTGCCTGTGTGCATGTGTAATGCATACTACTCACTCAAAAGTGAAAAATAAGCCACTGGTGATGAAAATTAGGCCGATGGTCAGCGGGAGCACACCGCATTGCCTGGCCAACATAATACGCCCATCACAGTAGAAGCGATTTTTTCCAGGGAAAACTTCCCATTTCCTCCGTAGACGCTGGGAGTTTTTTGGGAGTTTCAAAGTGGTGGAGGTCCGGGTGTTCGATGTTCCGAGTGCTCGTGGGTCTATTTGTTGATACTCACAATTTTTCATTTTCAAAAAATGTGACCGATATTATATAGAGGTAGGGAAGTATATATTTAACCTCTGGTACACTTTAGCCACAAGCCAAGCCCTAACAAAGAGGAAGTTTGAGCAACACTAGATATCAGCTGTAAAGCCCTGCCACATATTATTGAAGATACGGTCACATATGTACTGACAAATCACTTGGGTAACTTACTAAAATGATTTCAGCTATCGCACTAAGCAAACTCGAAAGTCCACAAAACACATAATGTTGCTCAACGCATCCGTTTGCAACTAAACATCCCCTAAAGGGAATATATCGACTAATAATTATTATACTATCATGCCATGTTGTTGCTTTCGATAAATTAGGGGTGTCTTAGCTAAGCTAATTACGCTAGCTTGTCGACTAGCTGTCAACAAGCTAACATATCTCAGAGGACGATATTGCTCCTCACGCGCTACTCAACCGTCGTTTGAACGACACTCGGCTCCTCGCGTTACACAGCCGTCCGATCGCTGTAGATATTAAGTTGTCCAACCGTAATGAATCTGTTGGGAATCGAAAATGAGATCAGATTAAATTGTTTATAATTCTCTAAGCGCGAATATAACGCAGCGTTCAACCACGGATGAGATATACAATATTTACCTTACAGCGATCACTTCCCTAGCCGAGGATTACCTGAAGAAAGGGACCAATGACTCGCAAGGGTGCGTCATCTCAGGCAGACCAATCAAAGATCACTTCCGATCTGTGTAGATTTTTATAAATTTTTTTACATCAAAATTACTAATGTAACAGATTCATGCAATACACCCACAACCATAAATGTATAGAAATACGTTCTATAAGGGGCGAACATAATACAAATCTATATAAAATTAAATAATAATAAGTAACTAATATGATAACTAATAATGTTGAATAATATCTAAGATTAACATTTACCTTAGTATCTGACGTTTATGCTAAAGTAACATAGTTTCTTAAAATAATATTATAAAATAATTTATATTATGGAAGCTGTTTACGTTTTTGAAGATTCAGCATTAATTAATTGTAGCTTTACAGTAGTGACAATAATTTATCTTTTGAACTGTTTTTGTTAACTAAAACTATATAAATATTTGATAAAAAGCTTAAACTTCATACATTTGAAATATTATCTTGGCAACTAACTGAAAATAAGTAGGTTTAAGCACTAAAATTACAAGGCTAATAAAAATAAAGCTAAATAGACATTTCTTTAAAATGATGATAATGAAAATGACAAAAGCACATAAAATCACTACAACTTAAAATAAAAAAGCTATTTCAAAATATCAATAGCTTTTATAAGAGTATATAAATAATACTAAAATAACACTGGAACTATCATATTATATCAACAGACCGCTTATAGCTCTTTGGAACCACTAGATGGTGATATAACACCATGTGCAACCCATCCCTCGGTAAGCGCCTTTTATTTTACAAACTGCAGTGGCCTTGCTGCAGACCAGATCATGAATCCCTGACATTTTTACAGGTCATTTAAAAAATAAGTTCGTACTCAAAGCATACATTACCTTTCAAAAGTTTTAAGTCGGTAAGATTTAGAGAAAAAAAAAAAAAGAAGTCATTTTTGCTCACCAAGTCTGCATTTATTTGATCAAAGTAAAAACTGTAATATTACGAAATATTACAATTTCTAAATACTGTTTTCTATTTTAAAATATAATTTATTCCCGTCTCCAGCGTCACATGATCCTTCAGAGATCATTCTAAAATACTGATTTGGTTCTCAAGAAACATTTCTTATTATTTGTTACAATTGGTTGAGCTGCTTTATATTTTTGTGGAATCCATACTACATTTCTTAGGATTCTTTGATTAATAGATCAAAAGATCACAAGAACAGCATTTAATTGAAATAAAAATCATTTGTAACATTAAAATATCTTTATTTTCACTTTTGATCAATTTGATGTGCTTTTTGAATAAATGTAATCATTTATTTCTATTATTTCTATTACTATTTAATTAAAAAAAACAGACTCTAACTTTCGAACGGTAGTGTATAGCTGAGCTTTAGCAAGTTTCATTTGATAAGAGATAAAAAAAAATACAGAAATAATTTTTAAATGTTCCAATAATGATATTTATTCAATACTATTTCAATTTTTTAAAATACCAGAAATCATCTTATAATAATAAAATGCATTAATTACAACAATATTTGTCAAACAGAATATTATGCAACAGGAATGTTATGAAGACTGAAACAAGTAAACCCACAAAGTTATTAAGTCCAGGGAAAGAAATTACAGTGCAGAGCCAGACCTAAAAACCAATATGATATGAAATACCCCAGTATGCATCGTGTATAAATGGAGCAAGTCTGCCAGTGCATCAAGAGGTAATTTCAATTATCAAAAGTCTTACCTGCACATGCATGCAGAATATTCCAATTAGAAGCAGGATGGAACTGTGCACGATGTAAACAAAGACTCTTGGGTTACAGAAACCATGCGTTTTTCGGTCTTTTCCTCTGTCCCCCAACCCCAAATACATACAAAACACTGGGTTAGCCATTATGTACATATATGAGGCTATGAATCCCAGAATTGCAACAGGCAGTGCCAAGATAAAGTTGGGTATCTGCTTCCACTGAAAGTATCGCAGGAAGCCCACATCCCAATAAACATCCTGTATGTACGAGTACAAAACTGGAATTCGCCATTGGCACCATCTTGGTGTTGGAGATGCTGCATCAGCCACACGGTATCCTTTGTCCCGGGCCAGATTAAGCAGCACAGGAGGAACTTGAGTAGCAGTCGGATGACAAAATGTTTGGTAGCCATAAACCTGAAACAAACAAAAAGGTAGTGCCACGAGAGCTGCATAAAATGCTCCTGTGAGAACAAAACGAATAAGTTCCCAGACATAGTGATGATACTGAAAGCCCCCTGCTCCTCTGCTAAGAGCCCGTGCACAGGCAAGACCCAATTGCAAACTGAGGTACAGCAAAAATCCAGCATTCACAAGTCCATTGGCACGAGCACCAGTAGCAAACCCAAGCAGAAGACAAGCTCCAATTGTGAATCTTGTCTCTAGTAGCCAGAGACCTGCAAAGGTAAGTGCTGCAAAGAGAGTCTCTGAATAGCCTGCAATCATAAAAACATTAGCTGGTGTCAGACAGTACATTAAGACTGCAACAAGGGCAAGTTTTCTGTCTTGCAGCACCAAATTACTCAGTCTGTATAGTGACACAGCACTTAGGACAAAGAGAATGCTATTCCCTATAGCCACAGCTAAAAGTAAACGGCCATGCAATGTGAGAAATCCACACAAGGGCCACAGGACAGTGGCGGCCAGGAATCGCAGGATGAGAGGAAACAATGGAAAGAATGCAAAGTTGTGTTCATACAAGTAGCCACGTTCTGCAATGAAGAGGAAATGCTCTGCATCCCAGCGACTAAGGCCACCAAATAATGCTTCGATGACGGGGTCCAGCAGGAGAGGGGTCTCTGATCGTGGAGGGCTGAAGGCATCTGCTACATGGTCGGGAATCACTGCATTCAGCACAGCCTTCAAAAGTGCACAAAACAGACAGTAATTTGTCATGTGCATCGTTTCCAGTTTGTGCGGTAGGTGTCACTCTAATCTCAAATTTGCAACTACGGCCAGTACTGATTTTATGGAGTTCTACATGTCTATGGCAAGTATTTTAGGCAGACGTCAAAATACAAAGTACAAATACATAATTTTAGGCTATTTTAGTCGTTTGTGTATTTCAATTGCTTACCTGTAAAACAAGGGAAAGCAGTCGAGTGAACGTCGCAAACCGTACAACTGTCCACACGTCTTCGTTTATACAAGTGTTTGAAGGCGACATATTTAACAGAAACTTTCATGAACGAAAATAACAGTAGACAATTTCCCTTGAAGAAAATAGTAATCATATTAATCCCAGTAAATTAGCAGATACGATAGGGGAGGCATCATTAAAACAAAAAGAAGCCAAAGGGCAATATGCTTTCTTGAGGTTTGTAACAACTGCAAAGACCCGCGTCCGCAAACGAATAATAAAACAATATAAATTATATTCACGTTTTTCCAATTCATCTCATAAAGCCACTGAATGGAACAACAGCGCTACACTTCCGGCATGCAGTTTTACAAATGTCAAAATAAAAGCCCCAATATCTTGACCGGTATTACGAAATCTAAACCTACTTGTACAATATATTATATTCTATTACTTCTATATGCCTATATGGCCTGGACAGTCAACGCCATTTAAAACAGTTAGGTTCAGTTATTATTTCGAATTTATAAATGCAGAAAATATTTCTATTTTGCTTCAGCGTCGTTGTCTCAGGAGACAAATATATTTGAATCAATCTTTTCATTGCCTTTTCAACCGATAAACATCTTTTTAGCGGACAAATATCATTGAGCACTAGTGTAAGAGTAATATTAAATCTTACAAATTTAGTTAATTTTTAACATGCAAATTAAAATTCATTTTTTTTAAATGTAAACATTCGGATTTAACCTTCCATTCATAATTACAGAATTCTAGGAAGAGAATTCTAGGATTTGTTTTTTAATCATCTAAATAAAAATAATCACAAACATCTTACCAAGATTTAATGTACATTTATTCTTACCACGTGGAACATATAGTATAAAGATTTCATAGTGAATAACTGATATTCATTGAGCCAAAAAGGGAAAAAAAACAAGGAATTTACATTAAGCTACATAGTCTGAAATACAAATATGCAGAATTCATATCACTGGAGAAAAAAAATCTCAACTGTTTCTTCATCTAGAGTTATTTTGTTGTACCAGGAGATTAAATTAAAATATTTCAGTTGTTTGCTGCACTATGGAGGAACCGTGGAGGCCAAAAGATGGTTCAGTTTATATACCTAGGCATTTTGATGCAATTAACCCAACTTGAGTGTCCGCTCTTATTCTTGATAGATAAAAAGGGATAAGAAGCAAGAGTGTGTGAAAGAGAGGGAGAGAAAGAGAAAAGGAGGTGAAAATGTACAACATCTTATATACAGTACAGCCTCTGCTGCATCTTAAGTTGAAACCCAGTCCTAGGAGGTGATTTCTTTATAGGGGTCAATTCATACAATCAAGGGTTAAAGAGAAGAGGTCAGGGTGTTGTACGTCCTTGATACTTTGGGGGTATTCTCCTCACCAGCAAACTAATGGTTTAAAAACGGTTTAAAAACGAAGCCGACTGAGCCAACATTTTCCCCATGTGGAACAGTGCAGTACGTTTGCAGTATGTTTACAGTTGTGGTGTACTGTACAGAAAATGACAACTCATTTCTGTTGTACACGCATCCAGAAAGGTTGACCGTGTAGCATCAAAATACAACCACCAAACAATGAAGAGTGCACCTGTCAATGTGAACGGGGGGGGGGGGTATTCTCCTTACCAGCAAACGAACGGTTTAAAAACGAAGCCGACTGAGCCAACATTTACCCCATGTGGAACAGTGCAGTACGTTTGCAGTATGTTTACAGTTGTGGAGTACTGTACAGAAAATGACAACTCATTTCTGCTGTACACGCATCCAGAAAGGTTGACCGTGTAGCATCAAAATACAACCACCAAACAGTGAAGAGTCCACCTGTCAATGTGAACAAGAGCTGTGTATTATTTGCACCCTCTTGGGGAGGACAAAGAAACAATTAACCCCAAAACTCACTGTAAACAA